TGAGACTCCATTAAGTGAGCCAACATATGCATAATAAGACTATCAGAAGGTAAAGAAAAAGAAAAAGAGCAGGAAAAAATAATCAAAGAAATAATGATGGAAAAGCTTCCAACTTTGATGAAAACTGTTAATGTATACATCCAAACAGCTCAACAATGTCCAGGTAGGAAAAACACATAGCAATCCACACTTAGACACGTTTTAGTAGAAGTGTTGAAAGAAAAGGCAAAGAGAAAATCATGAAAGCCACAAGAAAAAAAGCACCTCATCATATACAACAGAACCCTAACAATATTATTAACAACTGACTTCTTATTGACAACAAGAGGCCTGGTGCACAAATTCATGCATTGTTGGGGGGGGGCAGTCCCTCAGTCCAGCCTGCACCCTCTCCAGTCCAGGACCCCTCAGCGGGATTGGGCCTAAATAGGCAGTCGGACATCCCTCTCACAATCTTGGACTGCTGTCTCCTAACCTCTCACCTGCTTGCCTGATCACCCCTAACCACTCTACCTACCTGCCTGATCACCCCTAACTGCTCTCCCCTGCCAGCCTGATCACCCCTAACAGCTCTACCTTGTCGGTCAGATGGCCCCTAACTGCCTCTGTTTTGGCCACCGCCACTGTGGCTTTTTCCGGAAGGAAGTCGAGAAGACATCCAGTCTAATTAGCATATTATCCTTTTATTAGTATAGATCAGGGGTGGGCAAACTTTTTGACTCGAGGGCCACAATGGGTTCTTAAACTGGACCGGAGGGCCGGAACAAAGCATGGGTGGAAAGTTTGTGTGAACTAATATAAATTCAAAGTAAACATCATTACATAAAAGGGTACGGTCTTTTTTTTCAATAGTTTTATTCATTTCAAATGGGCTGGATCCGGCCCGCGGGCCATAGTTTGCCCACGGCTGGTATAGAAACTAGAGGCCCAGTGCAAGAATTCCTGCACAGTGGGGGTCTGGCCGGCTCAGACCCAATCAGTGGATCAGGGTCAGGCCTGTCAGGAGGAGAAGACAGCTGGAGGTTGACTGGAAGGCCCACCCTGATCAGCGCCTGATCAAGGCTGGGTCAGCTAGGGGGAGGGGCCGCGGGCGATTGCGGCTGGCTCCACCCTCAATTGGGGTGGGGAGGCCGATTGGGAACAGAGTTGGCTGTGGGGAGGGGCTGTGGACAGTGGGCCGGCCAGCCCCGCCCCCAAATGGTGCCAGGAGAGGGGCCCTGGGAGGCTGGCCGGCCAGCCCCACCCCTGATTGGTGTGGAGGGGGGCGATTGGGGGTGGAGCTGGCTGGGGGGAGGGGCCATGGGCCAAGGTGGTGGATGATTGGGGGTGACGCCGGCCATGGGGAGGGTCTGTGGGCGGTGGGCCGACTGACACTTCTCCTGAATGGGGGCCCCATCAGGGGCCAGTGGCCTGGGTGAGGGGCCATAGGTGGTTGGCCAGCAGGCCCTGCTCCTTATTGGAGTCGGGGGGGGGGGTCCGATCGGCGGTGGAGCTGGCTTGGGGGAGAGGCCGCTGGCTGATTGGGGGGGGGGTGGGGGCTCATTGGGGCCGGGGCCAGCTGGGGGGACGGGCTGCGGGCTGATCGGGGTGGGGCAGGCCAGGGGGATGGGCTGCAGAGGGGGCTTTGGCCGGCTGGTCCCACCCCCTGATAGGGCTGGTTCACTGGCCACAGTGGGTGTCATAGCGATGGTCGTTCTGGTCATTACGGCATTCTGGTCACTGGCTTTTTATATATATAGATAGGTCAGATAATAGTAGGGTTACATATTCAAAGAACTGAAAGGAAATATGTCAACCAAGAAACATGTTCAGCAAAACCTTTCAAAAATGAAGGCACAATAAAGATATGTCCAGATAAACAAAAACGGGAGGAATTTCTTGATAGTGGACTCATATGAAGACTCTTAAAGGAAGTTCTTCAGGCTGAAAGCAAGTTGTACCAGATGACAATTTGAATCCACACACCCATTCACAAGAAAATAAAGATAACTATGTAGGTAAATGTGAGAAGATATAATTGCATATTTATTTTTCTTCTCAACTGATTTAAAAACAATTATATAAAGCAATATCAATATTTATAATGTTGGGTCTGTAACATGTAGGTATGTAATCTATATATATAAAGAGCCAGCGACTGGAATGCCGTAATGACTGGAATGACCAGTAGCTATGATGCCCACTGCAGTCAGCAAACTGCCAGATTGGGGGGTGGGACCGGCTGGCCAACCTCCCAAGGCCCCTCCCACCAGCTTCCCCACCCCTGATTGGCCTCTCCCACCTCGATAAGGTGGCGGGGCTGGCAGTCAACCTCCTGCAGCCCCTCTCCTGATGGCCACCCCACCCTGATCAGCCTGCGGCCCCTCCCCCCAGCCAGCTCAGCCCCTGCACTCTGATCTGACCAACCACCCATGGCCCCTCCCCTAGGCCGCTGGTCCCCAATCGGCCCCCCAACCCCAGTCTGGGGCAGGGTCAGCTGGCCCACCACCCTAAGCCCCTCCCCACAGCCAGCCCCACCCCCATTAGCCCCCCACCACAATCGGGGGCAGGGCCCACCAGCCAATCACCCACAGCCCCTATCCATAACTGGCCTGGCCCTGATCAGCCCGATCAGGGTGGGCCAGCTGGCCAACCTCCTGCCGTCTCCTCCTCCTGACAGGTCCAGCCCTGATTCACTGATTGGGGACGGGAGGCCGGATTCCACCTGTGCAAGAATTCGTGCACTGGGCCTCTAGCATATTTAATATTAACATAAATGAAGTGGGTGGTAACAGAGCTATATTGGAGTCAGGAATGACACAAGGTGGTTGTTCAAATTGCAAAAAGAAATGAAAAGAAATTGGCTTGGGCCCTAACCGTTTTGGATCAGTGGACAGAGTGTCAGCCTTCGGACTGAAGGGTCCCGGTTTCAATTCCAGTCAAGGGCATGTACCTTGGCTGCGGGTGTATCCCCAGTGGGGAGCGTGCAGGAGGCAGCTGATCGATGTTTCTCTCTCATCAATGTTTCTGACCCTCTATCCCTCTCCCTACTTCTCTGTAAAAAATCAATAAAATATATATTTTTAAAAAAGAAATAGACTTGGTTAATAAATATGTAAATATTTACTTTCTTTCCTATAAAGATTGAAACTGCATCTAGAAGAAATATAAAATCTGAGTAGACCTATGATAAATAGTTTGAATTAGTCATTTAAAAACTTCCTCCAAAGAAAAACCCATGCCCAGGTGATTTCACTGGTGAATTTCAACAAATGTTTAAAGAACAATAATATCAATACTTTCTCACTCTACAAGGTCAGTATTACCTTATATGAAATCCATGCAAAGACATCACAAGGGGGAAAAAACTACAGACTAATGTCTTTTTTAATATAGATGCAAGAATTCTCAACAGAATACCGGTAAATCATATCCAGCAACATTTAAAAAGTGTTATACACCATTACCAAGTGGGATTTATCTCAGAAATGGAAGATTGATTTAAACTTAAAAAAACAATTTGTGTAATTCATCATATTAATAACATAAAGGTCAAAAATCACATGATCATCTTAATAAATATGGAAAAATCACTTGAAAAAAATCCAAGAGTCTTGGTTTCTTTGTTTTAATTTTTTTACTTTTTTTCAAATTTTTAAATGTTTTAAATTACAGTTTACATTTAATATTATTTTGTGTTAGTTTCAGGTGTACCGCATAGTGGTTAGACAATCATATACTTTACCCAGTGTTCCCCCTGATATTTCCAGTACCCAACTGGCTCTATACATAGTTATTAAAATATTACTGACTATATTTCCTATGCTGTACTTTACATCCCCATGACTATTTTGTAACTACTGATCTGCACTTCTCAATCCCTTCACCTTTTTCAAAGCTCTCTTGTGTATCTTCTTAGACAGGCACTAATTCCATTCATGAAGGCTCCTCCCTCATGACTTAATTACCTTCCAAAGTATTTACCTCAAAATGCCATCACACTGGGGATTAGGTTTCAACATATGCATTTTAGGGGGGACACTCAGTTCACAGCAATGACCTCTGTCAGGTTGAGAAAGTTCCCTTCTCTTCCTAGATTGTTGGGTGTTCCTCTTATGAGAGACTTTTGGGTTTGGGTAATCCGCCATGAGAGGACATGAGAAGACTGCCACCTGCAAACCAGGGAGCAGGCCTTCCTCAGACACCAGGTCTACCAGCACCTGGTCTTGGCCTTCCCAGCCCTCAGAACTATGAGAAATAAATATTGGTTTTTTAGCCATCCAGTCTATACTATATTTACTATAGCAGCCAGAGCGACCAATATAGCCATCTATGAAAAACTCACAGCTCACATCATCATTAACAGTGAAAAAAAATGGATGTTTTCACTCTAAGATGTTGGGTTATCTTTATTTGGTATAGAGATATTTTATCACATTAAAAAAATAATCTAGTTCATTCTCACTAATTTACTCACTAATTCAGACTGATACTTTAATGCATTAAACTTTATTAGTTACCTATTGCAATATTGTAATAACTTTCTCCGACTTATGTTTTGCTTTTAAATAAGTATGATAGTTTTTATCTCTGAAAAGAAAAATAATAAAATCTCATCCCTTTCGTTTCAAATATTTGCCACAGCAATGTGTATAATAATCTCTTCTTTTAATTTAATGTTTCAATTCAGATGGGGTTTTTTAATGTCTTTGTTTTTAACTATGCCTGCTATAACAGGATTCTTTTTCCAAATCTGAGAGCCTTTCCTCCTTTTATGGGAGGGAGTGGTGTGGAATTTTAATCAATCCATTAACACTTATTGTGGTAATTGATAATTTGGTTTTATTCTCTCAATCTCATGAGTTGAATAAATTATTTAATTCTGTAAGACTTACACTTTTTGATGCAAAGATTCTTTTAAAATTTATTTTGAGAGAATTTTAATTCTGAATTTCATATTCAGTATTCAATACTGATGTAACCTTTTAAACATTATTTTTCTTTCCTTTATCTCCATGAAGACAAATTGAGTGGCAGTAATAATGCAAACAAAAGACAGAAAACCGCACAGGACTTTCTCAACTCTATTGACCAAACGGGAGAACTCTTGGCGATGCTTGAAGATGATGAAATTGATGAAGTTAAACAAGAAAGAATGGAGGTATAGTTCATTCTTCCCTTTTTACATTAAAGAATAACATTGCAGTTCGCAGTGCCGATGCTATTTGGTTCTGTTATTATGTTCTTTACATGTCGTCTGAAATGCCTCAATCAGTGGTTTCATGTCTGAAGACAGCATTGTGCAGTGGAGTAGCCTGGAGAGGATGTCAGACTCTGCCTTCAGAGTTGATGTGGAGAGAGGACTTCAGTTTCCTGTTTCTCTGTTTCCTTCTTTGAGTATAGATAGATTTCCCTCAGCTTCCTTCTTTTTTGGGGGGTTTAGTTTTACTGATATTATTTTATTCTTTAAAAGCTAATTCATGATTAAATATTTATTTATTTTTGTTTCAAATATCCAGTTAGCTTTGTGAGCAAAGGTAATCCTTAACTGCATTTGTGTTGGCATATAGCATTTCAAACTGTAGTTCCAGGCTATGGTTGGACTCACCAGCTAAGGTAGTATCCAGGGCAATTACATGCTTTATGTCACTCTAACACAAAGTTAGTGACATGTGTTTGGATTCTCTGGATATGTTTTAACAATGAATATGAAAATTGTATGCCTTCTATTTACCTCAGCTTATCTATTCATAAAATTGTTTCCTTAAATACTTTGGGAAAATAAAAGTAATGATTGATTTCATTTGAATGCCATCCAAAATACAAAGCATTATTCTTATGATACTTATTATTATTACACTTTTACATGTTAAAAAAAAAAAATCTCCATTTTCCCTTTTCCCTTTAAATTGGGCAAGAGAGGTAATTTCAGAACTCTAAAAGATCGCGCTAAGTATCCACTTTATCATAGTCTCTGTGCATGCTAAGAATATAATTATTTCATGTTAAATTTTGGAGGAAGTCCAATAGACATACATGGTTTATAAACTTTAACAGCCTTCTTTAAAGAATTAGTATGCTTAGATCAGGAACTGTGATCTAAAAGCAGTGTTCTTCTTAGGTATCAATTACCTTAGAAATGTGTGGTTATCTTGGTTTGGGGCAACTGCAAATGGTTTTAGTTCAACTCTGCCTTGGGCCAAAAACATGCTCAGTTGTCCCATGCAGATGATAAACATATATTTCTGATGCCATTATGGCCTAAACAGGATATGATTGTTTAGTGGCATGGTTTCCCTTATGACAGAGAGCAAATATTGTTTATGCTTTATTTTAAAAACATTTTTACATTATACAAATGGGCATGAAGGAAGATTCATTAAGGAAGAACGCTACATAAAACATTAGTAAAATGGAACAAGTAGCTTTTCACTCTTGATGGGAAAATCTCTGTGAACTAAGCCCATTGCCCAGAAGGGCATTCCCCAGTCAAGAAGAAGAGAAGTGGAGCGTGTTGAAACACTGAGCCATCATCGCAGGCTACTGTAGGCCCGGAAAGGTGATGAGTCATTAAGGCACAAGTTAGAGTCAGTAACGTTTCTGTCAGTGCTGGGTGGAATAAGCTTGGGAACTTACGCAGTTTACATACCTGTAGTTGCATTATACATTACTTAGAATTAACCAGGATAATAAAATATCATTAGTTGATAAAAAATAGTTGCAATGAAAGTCAGCTTTATCTATATAATAAAAATTAGATTGGTAGTTTCTCTAAGCTTTATATCCTAACTGAAATCTTCTCTAACCAAGGTTTTTTAAAAAGAGCAGTTTTGGAGATTCTACTCTTCCAAATAACACAGTCGTACTGAATAAAAGTGCTGAACTTGTAGACATAACTGTAGACAGTAGAAAGTGGAACTGTTAAGAGCACAGGCCTTGCCTGCTTCTAATTTGACAGGTTATAGTTTCAAGCGTAAACCACAACTGTGGCAGTCCATATGAAACCACTTTGGACTCACAGACTGCAATCTCTTGCTTTTAAAGTGCAGTAGAATAATCAGTCCTGGCATCACTCAGTGATTTAATTTTCCTCTAAGCATCACTTACGGTTGCAGAAACTTTGTTTACTACCTTCTCTTCTAGGATGTATGAAAATGGTAAGACCTACCAGCAAAGCTTATTATTGTTTTTCTTTCTTTCTTCTTTTTATTTTCACAAGTGTAATTTAGAAGAGAAAAATTTTACAGACATACATCAAAACTCACTTGGGACCCTAGCTTTTTCTTAAAACATTGAGCAAGCATACAAAAAAACAAAGTTCTTTTCTATTTTTTTCAGCTGATTTCTGTGTTTATCTGGCTCTGTATTCCACTCAGAATTTATGTCATTAATATTAAGTATTATGTGATTTTAAATATAAAAATGTCTAAATTTTTATATCCATTACTTGCTAGTCCAATATCATGATAGTTAACTCTTACACTTTTTCTTTCTCTCCAGCACCAAATTTTTAATACTTGGGTGTAAGTCTACTAGAGAGCTATGATCCGTGATCTCTGAAGATCTTCTAAATTATCAAATAAAGATTAAATAACATTCATAATTGCTTTAGAGTATTTGAGAGGCTGGGAAAGAGAAGCAGGGAAATGGTGGGCATAATAATACATATAAAGGCACTCCTCTCCAACCGCCTCTCATCCTCACTTAACCCCACCTCAGAATGACACAAGTGTGTTTACTGTTTCTCACATTCTAAATTTTGAGATCTGATCCACTGAACATCAGCGGTGTCAACCAGAGGCCAAGAAAGGATCGCTAAAAGCCGCATTCGGATTTTCTTAACGGAGGAACCGTGGTCACTCACAGAGGAGCTTTGCCTAAGACCCAGCTGCTCTTCTGCTAAAGAACCTCAGGAGCTCAAGTTTATGACTCACCAAGTTAAATATCTGGTCTAACAAACCGTTAGGTTTGTGAAGGGGACATAAAAATAAATGCTTAAAATTTTGGGTGAACTCTTACCTTCTGACTCACCTTCATTGATAAAAGTAAACAAGAGAACCAAGATTGGAGCTCACCAGAGAGAGCAGCCTTTACACAGATTGTGGTGCCAAAATCCCCAGTGACTGTTCATCTTGTGTTTCCAAGTCAGAGGCCTAGTATGGAGTCTAGAGAAAAAGCAGAATAAAATATGTAAAATGTAAGGCAGCTTAAAATTTTTTTAAATGGAATAAAATCCCAGGTGGCCATCTGAATTTAACCTGAAGTGACTGGCCATAGATTTAAAAACACAGAGTTTCTCATAAAGGTTGAATAACCGGAGAAATGAGGTATATCATTCAGTTATGCCCCAATATAATGAGGTTCTGATGATCCCCGGTGTTTCTGAGTCCCGTTGTTACAATTTTTGGACCTAAAGAGATTGGAAAACTAGTTGAAGAAGCCAGAGATGTGAATGGCTGCCAGCCACGAGTTTGACATGCTTGCGTAGAGGTTCTGTATCCCCGGTTTTTGAAGTGTGTTCTTTCTATTATTCCTTTTTTCTACCTAGAATGATACCTTTTAAAATTATAAAGTAAAGTAAAATAATATTCCCTTAAGAGTAAGAATTCAAAAGTATTATTTAGATAAAATTTATCATAAAAAGGCTTAATCCCACTAAGATAAATCTTCACAGTTACCAAGAAATTGAAAAGCTTGAGTTAAAAACTTAAAGGTTCTTAAAAAGTTTAAATTTAATGTATATAGGATTAAAATATACAGAATTTATATACTAGAAAACTATAGTTTAAGATACATACATTATATACACAAATATGCATATACATTTACATACATATACTTTGCCTATATATGCATGTGACCTATATCTATAAGAACAGAAATATGATTTTACTAGATTTTTTTAAATGTAAAAGTAAAAGAGCAATCAAAGGATATCAAACACAAATACTAGTGGTAGTAATTTAGTTTACAGAAAAAAGAATTAAAAGGGAAAAGCTTTAAAATGGAACAAAGTTGATAATTTATGTTACTAAGAGATGCTGCCTATAATGAAGATAGTAAATACAAAATGTTAATCATCAAATTCCAAGAATTGAAACATTCCAATCAAAAGAAAGCTTTGATTGGTATAGGAGAGGTCAGAGAAATGCATTTGTTTATAAAGACTGGAACACCACATTCTCAGTATTTAACAGATTGACTTGGGGAAAAATATAATAAAGATTTATATTTTTCTAATAGATGCATATAAAACATTTTAGAAATGAGCAGCAGTGTTTTTTTTCTTTTGTTTTTTGTTAATCCTCACCCAAGGATAGTTTTTTCATTAATTTTTTGAAAGAGAAAAAGATAGCTAGAGAGAGAGAGAGACAGAGAAACATAGATGTGAAAGGTCAGTTGCCTCACGTACATACCCCTGTGTATAGAACCTGCAACCCAGGTACATACCCTTGAACAGGAATTGAATCGGAGGCTCATCAGTGCTCAGGCCAGTGCTCCAACCACTGTACCATTCTGGCCAGGGCAGCAGCAGTTTTAAAATCTCACCCAGGTAACTCCAAAGATTTCATGGTGCTCTTCGGGGAAGGTGAGGAGAGGTTTGGTAGGACTCTAGCCTCTATCCTTCCCCTACATCTTCAACCAGAAGAACTTTGGTTTTATATAATGAATCTGTATATCATCCATAAAGAAAGGTTTCATTATTTTTTAACTAAAAATCATTGAAAAACACCATTATTTAACTGCCCAAGAGGAGTATTTCTCACACAAACAAAAATTCCAGAAAAGTACAAATTTATAGAGTATATTACCAGAGCAAAAAACCCAGAAAGTAATAACAGAGGTAAAACAAACAGGATTCTAATAAATTGAAAATTTAAAAAGAAAAACATCATATAAGCAACTAATGGACCAATAACAAATAAATTAAAAAGTACTACCACAGACTATTTAGATGATAATAGTAATGAAAATATACATATAAAATTTAAGAAGTATGAACAAAGCTTTATTTAAAACAGGCAACTTCTTAGCTTTTAAGCTGTTCATTATTAAATTGAGAAAATGAAAAAAAAATAGTCAACTAAAATTAGAAATATTACATCCAAATAAAAAGGAAAAAGGTAAAAATAAAAGAAAGTTGAGTTAAACAAATTATTG